CAGGGACCATCAATGCTTATGGCACTGCCTACTCTTATCTTCCATAATAGGAATCCTCTAGCATCTCCCTTAATAAACGTTCCATGGTCACTTGCCATACCACCTAAGGAAGTGAAAACCTATTAATTGCCGACCATATGAAATTCTTACTTGGGTATAGCATTTCTTCTAAGCACTCTCCCCTCATGGCAATATTTGGAAATCCAAGATATACTTTTAGCTTCGAAAATAAACTGTTCTGAACTTTTTCTGCTACATTATATCTCTAAGTGCAGCAGGTCATCTCAGATGTGTCTGACTTGATTGAATTAAAGATCCTTTCATTTCTGCCCCTTTCTCCACTCATTGCCCTACTGTACAGTTTCTTGGAGGCTTCATTCATTTTGGGTCCCATTGCACAGCAGAATGCCTCCTTTGTCATACTATGGCAAGTGTTTACTCCTAGACTGTCTAACCAGAGGATACCTTTAATCCTCGTTTCATACGAAGGTGGAAAATATACCTGAAGATCACTTTTTCAGCATAAGTTTTTTCCTAGTTTGCTCATAAATCCTCTAGGCTTAACTTACAAAGCTTTACACAAGCCTAAGGCACTCTGTTTTCACCCATGTGATGGCAATTTTCAAATCTCATTGGACTGAAAATAACTGGCACTTTCTTTGGAAAATAAGTATTTTTATGCTTGTGTTAGCTTTGCAAATTGAGCCTTCTGTATGCAATTAATGTCAGGAAGCGAAGGGCAAGTTACTCACTTAACTTTTGGTAGTGTATCTCTTTCCTACATAAAATATTTTGACCACTTGACCCCCAGGCCAATTCTGACATTCATCTCCTACATGTAAAAATTACCATTTTCTTGCTAGAAAATTACTTGGAACCCCAAACATATATATTTTTAAGCAGAGGCCCTAGAGAATAAAATGGGCGGTGCTGCAGTCACATAGCATCTGTGCAGCAGTTTTTCAAACATTTTTTTTTTTTAAATTATACTTTAATTTTAATGCCAAAAAACACAATATAATGCCCAATTGTTTGGTAAAATATAAAAGATGTTATGTCGATTAAATAGATACCCACCATGTTACAGTCTAAAATTGTGCACACTCTTGAAATGGTGACAAATGACGACACCTAAAAATCTCTATGGACGACACTTTAAAGGCCTTTACTGCTTCCTGTTTTAAGTTGCACAGGAGGTCTCGTGCTAGAATTATTGTGCTAGCTATAACGTTCATGGCGATACCTCACTTGTGTGGTGCAAACGTCATTTTACATGTGTGTGCGACCCACGTATGCATTTGCCTTTGCGCGTGAGCATGTGGGGGGGGGGGGGGGGGGCTTTTAATTTTTTTTTTTTTTTTTTACACTATCTTTTAACATCCTATGTGATATCTGGAGCAGTGACAGGTCCTCTTTATGGAGAGATCCCTGATCTCTCCTCTGCCCTTTAAAGCATCAAATCAAACCGATTAGTTGGTAACCGTCTGCTTATATTAGACCAGCATGGTCTGTTTATGTTCGACCAAAGCCAGTAGTGACAAAATACTTGTTGCTACCGGTTTCTTAGACCATAAAGATGATCAGGGAAGTTCTGGTCCTTGGACATATCTATAGTCATCTGGCAGAGGGGGGGTGGACCCACCACATGTAAACGTGATCTAGCAGCTAATTAGCCACTCGTATTGCCAGCTGAAAAGACAAAAACACTGCCCCCTTTCAGTGCCCTTAAAAGCAAAAGACTGAGATATCACCCTTCCCATCCAAAGACAATACAGCAAGTGGTTAAACCCAAAACCAAAAATTAAATCTTTTGCAGCTTACCAATCTTTAGATGTGGTGGCTGCATTAGGTTTTTTCTTTTAGGCGTTTTCCCCCTTCTGTTTTCACCTGGTTATCTGGCCAGTAACAAACCTCCTGTATTAGAGTGCCACCACTCTGGATGAAGGAGCACAGGGGCACCTTTGGACAGCAGCATTGTCAGTCTGGGGGAGGGGAGTGCTAGACATACTAGCAGATATAGATACTCTAAAAAATTGAAGCAAAACTTCTGCTCACGCTTTTCAGTTACAGCAACAGTTTTTTTTTTAATGGCTTTACATAAAAGTTGATCATTGTAAGCACCCCTGTCAGTGGAAAATCTACACTAGGCATGTGTAGTTCTTTCTATCTTACTGCACACGTATGCTCTCCTCTAGCACTTGCTGGCAATTCCCAAATGTTCTTTGTATTGGACATGCATGATCTTAATTACAATGTTTATCTAATTTTAATTTCCCTCAACTTATTAGATAAAAGACCATACATAGAGAATTTCTGTGAAATCGGTAGCACCTTGGCTGTCCCTGGCTTCGGTACTTTAAGTCTTGAACCCAGAACCAGTAAACAACAAATACTGTGAGGTCAGAAAAACTGATGTGCTTACTTTTGAGTCACTAAATAAGTTTTGAAGCTACTGGATATGCCAACACAGGCTATATGTTTTACTTTATTTGTGGTGTATTTTCTTGTTTTTAAACCCTCAAAGGTGATACTACAGTCCTGTAGAGCTGCTCCAAGTAAATGGCTAAATACATAAAAGGAATACATATACTGTACATGAGCTATTTAACCTGCCAAAGTATTTGTATTTCTGTCCATCCAGTCCTGAGATTTACACAGCTCTGCCACCCAGCACAGCCTGGTCTAGCAGAGGAGGGGACCTGATGATTTCCTGCTGCAGTTTATCTTAAGTGGCAGGTCTTCTCAACACCCCTCCGTTATGTCTGGGTAGCAAAAGAAGAAGCAGCCTACTGTTGCATTCAAACCTGTCACTCAGTGCTCAACTTTAGGTACTTGCACTGATTGCATTAAAAATAATGTAATTTTTTTTCTGTAAAGGTGAACTAAACCTTTTATAGATTAGAGTTGCATTCATTTGCATTTTTTAGCTGCCTGTAGTTCACCTTTAACTCTCTTACTGCCATCAATGTTTATCTTATGTCATTGGCATTGGGGGGGGGGGGGTGTCACACACTCATCGCTGTGCATAAATGATTACACAGACACTGACAACAGTTTAAGGAATTGCCTTGGATCAGCCACATTCAGCTGCACAGGCACACCGTTGTTAGTTCGGCTTGGGAGATGACCGATTATCTAGCTTAGACTGCTGTTTCTAATCTAAACAATCAGCAACTAAGATAATGCATAATATAACTAAAAGTTTTAGTTACTAACGCACAGCAGATTTTGATTTTTAACTGGAATTCCACTTTAATGCTAAGCCCAACAATATATCTTATATCTGTCAAATTCCAGTGCATTACAGAATATTACAGTTGAGTGACATTGGGTGTTGCATCAGTAGGGTCTCAATCTGAACTTGCAGCAAGTGAAGGTTCTGTGTACAGCCTTGTATTGGAGTCCATGAAGCTCCAAGGACTACTTATGTCACAATATTGAGGACCTGCCGTTCGTCTGTTATCACATATGGGGGGGGGGGGGGGGGGTTATTGCTCACCTAAGTGATAGCAATAAAATTCAGTGTTTTAAAAAAAAAAAAAAAAAAATTTATTAATGTGATTATAAAGGCTTTTTTTTTTTTTTAAATGCCAAGCATGTCTATTCTTGCCTGCTGTGTGCAGTGGTTTTGCACAGAGCTGCCTGGATCCTCCTCTTCTCGGGTCCCCCACATGCTCTCCTGGCCCTTCCCTCCTGTCGGGTGCCCCCACAGCAAGCAGCTTGCTCTGGGGGCACCCTCTGCTCCTTGTGTTTCATTCACACATGGAGCTACTTCTCGGCCCTGCCCCCTTCTCATTGGCTCACTGGATGTGATTGACAGCAGTGGGAGCCAATGACTCCCGCTTCTGTCTCAGCCAATGAGAAAAAGGAATCCTGGGATAGTCGAGACTCCAGTGCACATCGCTGGATCATGAGGGGGCTTAGGTGAGTATTGGGGGGGATGCTGCACAGAGAAGGTTTTTTACCTTCATGCATGAAGGTAAAAAACCTTGAGCCTTTAGAACCACTTTAAATACATCAAAATATAACATTTAAATTCCCTTGCTCCCACGTACACTATATACACTCAACCTAAATGCATGCAGTAGGTGCACCTTATGTCTGGGAAAAAAATTGCATCGCATGTGTGAGGTATCGTTGAGAATGTTGAAGTGAGAGCAGAAATTCTAGGGGCATCATTCATAGCTCTAAACTGTTCACTTTTTTAGATTTTTTTTTTCAAGTATTGCCTTTGGACAATTTTAGGTGCTGAAGTTTGTCGCCATTTCACAAAGTTTGTTGCAGTTATTAGTCTTGACATGTTGGTATATATTTACTTGCTGTAAACCCATCTGTTATATTTTGCAAAAAAATTGGGTGATTTATTGTGTGTGTGCACTAAAATTAACTGTATTGCATATTTTACTGAAAATTAGCATTTGATAACCGTGGGCAAAAATGTGACAAAACATTGCAGTTACCCCTATTTTATTCTTCAGGGTCTTTGCTTTCAGAAAATATTTAGCAGGTTTAAATCTTCAGGCCTAAAGCATACGTTTTTAACGTGTGCAAAAACTGGAAAAAAAAAAAAAAAGTTTCTGGTGACAAAGTGACTAAAAACTAACTTGGTAGCCTGCACTTCAAAAGTTTCACTTTAGACACTTTAAATCAGGCCAGGTTAATTTTAAACTTTGTAAATCTAGCTTATATCTGTTCCAGAACATCAGATGTATATTCTGTCAGTGGCGAGTAAAAAACATTTTTGTTCTCAGTCACGCTGCCTTTTGACTTGAGAGGATGATAGTTACCCAAACCAGTTGTTTTTCCACTCTAATGTTAGCTGGATATACTATTACCCCATGTCTTTAGGTACCTGTAGTTTTATAAGGTAAAAAAAAAGAGTAGATACTGATTGGATATTGAGTAAAACTTTTGACTTCCTAAGATATTCCATCTGTTTTTCCTGTTATCCTTTTGGTTATATGGTTGATAGTTTAATGATGATATTGTTCTTTCCTCAGAGATCACAAGTACAGTGGGCGAAGTGCAAAGCAGGAAAGGCAAGAAAGTAAGTGTATATTACATCAAAATGAAATAAGTTATTGCTAGGTTTTTGCATTACTACAGTCACCTCATGCATTTATATTTTGATGAATATACCTGTAATTTATCTTTAGGGAAAATTGACTTTTAAATTACTACTCCTTCCAATGGGCCCTCTGATTAAAAAAAAAAAAATGTTCATAGAAGTACACACCTCAATTTGTCTTTTTCACTGTTACATAGTACAAGGAGACCGGAATTAAATTTTTATTTCTTTGGTGTCTTCATGCTCATGCAGTAGTGTATAAATTGCTTGATTTTACAGTACAGGACACAGGTTTATTTAAAGTCTTACAGTTGGGTTATATGCAGCTGCATTCAGGTGATTGGACACTGGTTGCTGGAGCAAACTTCATATAGCCCCGCCCACTCCCAGTTTCACACCATGAAGGGTGAAGCCAGGAATGGGTTTATCCCCCCCTTATTTCCGCTAATAATGCGGTGAGTGCAGGGCGGTAGCCTTCTAAATATCTATCCCAGGGTGTTCACTTTCTGTGCTGCGACTGTTGTTTCTTTGCAGGAGTATGTTTTTGAGACTTGGATGGCTGGGGATGTTTTTTATTTTGAGCCATGTCTACATGTCCAAAATAAGAAAAAAAGAAATGGTTGTGGGATCCAACAATTTGGTGATCCTGGTGCTAACCTCAGTGGAGGTGAGTGTCACCACAAATGTCACACCAACAAAGAAAAGAAATCTTGTGAAAGACACTTAGCCAAGTAGGTGTCTTTTACCCTTTTTTTTTTTTTTTTTGCTGAATCTCCAGGGAGTGATAGCAAAATGCAGCTGTACCCTGTCTCCTGAGTTGCTCACGACTGCGCCAGCATAGGGGTGATGCTAACCTGCTCCAAGGCTGTCACTGCAATTATGAAACTTTTCCCTTTCTCTTCTGATCCTTGGAGACACAATGCTATTGTAGACCTACAGTTTGCACCACGGCACCCATCTTCTCCCACTATTGTGGACATTTTTTGCGGGACATTTTATTATCACTTATGGCTGATTACAAGTGCCTGGATAAGGGATCAGATTCTTCTGTCTACAGTCAACTGGACCTTTTACCTATGACCTTGCGTTTAAATTTGTGAATGTTTTGGCAGATGCATGTCACCAAATTTTCAGGATGTCTCTTCTTTCTATCGACATGCACAGGATTCTCTGCTTTCAATGCTGGACAGCTGTGCTCCCATGCAATAAATACTTTGAGTGGTTACCCTTTGAAGGCGAACACCTGTTTTGTCGCTGCTTGGATAAGTACATTAAGGAGATGATGGGATAAGAGAACACTCCTACTCCATAGGAAAAAGGCTCATGTCTATACCAGTAGGTTTTGTCGTTCTGAGGTTAAAAGTCCTTTCATCCCTCCTTTTTCCAATGCCAGGTTTAAGACCTGAACATGCTTTTGTAATAAGATATAGCCTTCCAAGTCAATGATGGCCTCTTCACAGTGATGATGCATCCCCACTTCTTGGAGTGGGGAAGGGGAGACATCTTTTGGCCCTCTCGGCTTTCTGGTCCCAACAAATCTTTGACAGATGGTTTCAGATTGTTTCCCAGGGCTACAATTTGAAGTTTCACACTCTGCCCCTTCCTGCTTCATGCTGTTAAACATACCCTGCCTCCAAATAGACGGGTCTCCTGACTACTGTGCAGCAGTTCTTGTCTTAGAGGGTCATCACCCCAGTACGAATGACTTCATGATTTCAAAGTTTCTACTTCCAAAGTTGAATGGAGAAGTCAGGCATATTGTGGATCCAAAGATTCTCAGTTTGTTCCTGCAGGTTCAAAAGTTTTGCATGGAAAGTATGAGGTAAGCCGTTGTCTTCCCCCTTCCGGGAAATTTTCTGGCTTTTGTAGACATCAGGGATGCTTATCTGCACATTCCCATCCTTCCAAAACACCAATGTTATCTACAGTTGGTAGTGGGAGCTCAACAGCACAAGTTTGTCACCCTTATATTTTGTCTGTGTATGGCCCCTTGAGTTTTCAACAAGGTTTTTGGTTTCTTACAAGCTCCTCCACACTAAGAAAATTCATGTTGTGGGGTTCATGGACAATCTGCTGAAGAACCAGTCTTCTCTGTCCCTGGTGGTCAAGAAGCATCAGATGGTACAATCTCCTAATTTGGGTGGATTCTCAATCTGAGAGTCACTGCTGGACCCATTTCAGATATTTGAGTATCTGGGTTTGACTCAGACATGGCCCTGTCCAGAATCTTCTTGGCGTGGGAAGAGTTTCTGTGCCTCTGCTTTCATGACTGGTGCCGCTGGGCTCAGAAGTGGCCATCTATTTATATCTGCATATGCGAGTCTTCAGGCTCATGGTTGCCTCCTTTGAGACTGTGTCATATACCCAATTTTACTCCAGACTGTTGCAACTCAACATTCTGGCAGCGTGGGCCAGACAGAACCGTCCCATGCACCTGACCCTCAGGGCCAGTCTTGTGGTGTGATCACTTTCTAACCTAGTGCAGGAGTTGGAGCAGCACATTTTCTCCTCGATCATATAGGATTCTTGAGACGAATGACAGCCTGTCAGGCTGTGGTTCAGTCCTGGACACCCTCTCAGGTCAGTACGATTGGCCTTTCAATGCTGAATGACTCTTCTAAAAGGACCCCAGATTGAGAATCCAGTTGGAAGATGGATTCTCCACGGCCCTAGCTTACATCAATCATCAAGGCGTTATCAGGCATCACACCACTCTAAAAGACTTGATGCTTCACATTCTGGCCCTGTCCTTTTGCATTCCAGGTGTGGAAGATTGGAAAGTGGACTATCTTTAGCATTCAATGTCTGGATCTGGAGGAAAGCACCATCCATTCATAGGTTTTTCAAGCCCTTTGCTGAATTTCGGCAACGACTGGCTGGACTTTCTGATGTTCAGATTCAACAACAAATTTGGACAGGTTTGTTCCCAGGTGCAGGGACCCTAGGGAGTTCTGAGTGGACATGTCCTTAAGATTTGCAGTTGCCTTCCTTGCAGGATCAAGATGGACGGCAGTCCAATGATTCTCGTCTGTCAGTCGGCACAGAGAATGTGGTACTCAAGCATAGTCCGACGCTCCTTGAGCCCCTATGGATTGTAGAGACCTGCTCTCCAAACAACTAATGTTCCATCTTGCTTCTTGGTTGCTACCTTTAATGGCATGGTCATTGAAGCCATGGTCCTGAATAACGGGCCTGTCAGATCATGCTTGATTAGCTGCTTGCCTGGCTACAGTAACCAGGAAATGACAGCTCTTAACCTGGATGTGACAAAATACCTGTCACTCCTGGGTTCATTAGTGGTAGAGGGGATGGGGGGTGTCGGAAACCTCAGTACAGTAAAAGTGATCAGGCATCTCTACAGTTGCTGGTATCTCTTTTGTACCAAGCACCTGGCAGCAACCATGAGCTTGTTTAAACCACTTGAAGTCCAGGATGTGCATATATCGCCTTTGGATGGCAAATGGTTAAAGAAGCCTTTGTTCTGTACTGTACAATCAGAAAAATAGGATTTTTTACTTGCCTGTTAAAAATTTTCCTGAAGTAGAGTATACCAGGCCCTTGCCTTAGTTCTTGTCATCTCTGCATTGCTTGCTAGAAAACTGAGGTTAACTGGATTGGAAGGGGTTATATGAGGGATGTCCCAGCAGCTTTTTTTACCAGTGTTCAGTCACCTGAAAGTAGCTACTTCTAACTCAGTTGTAAGCATTTAAAAAAAGCCTGCGTCCTGTACTCGCGGAAACTGATTTTACTCGCAAATCAGAAAGTGGTTTCACCTAGTTTTTGCTGTCATCAGTTACCCACTACCAGGTAACATTTACAGTCTCTGCTGAAAAACTATTTTTGAAGTCTTTAGTTCTCTTTTCTTTCTTGCTCAGAAGTACCTTTTAACATTGCGGGTACCTAGTAAGTAGTGATGAAATTCTTTATTCTTCTTTTTTTTTTTTTTTTTTTTTTTTTTTTGTAGTTGTTGCTGTAAAATGTATGCTGAGCACATTCATCACCTCTTCTAGACCCATATATTAAGCAGATCTAAATTGTAAATAAAACAGGTAGTGCAGTGCTAAAAAATAGAATGAAATAAAATGACATAAATATCTAAAGTTTAAATGCCCATTAAGATTAGCCGATAAACCATAGAAAATATGACATACAGTGAGGAACAGACGTATTTGAACACCCTGCGATTTTGTAAGTTCTCCCACTTAGAAATCATGGAGGGATCTGAAATTCACATTGTAGGTGCATTCCCATGCTGAGAGACAGAATTGAAAAAAAAAAATTTCAGGAAATCACATTGTATGATTTTTAAAGAATTTATTTGTCTTGCACTGCTGAACATAAGTATTTGAACACCTAAGAAACAGCAAGAATTCTGGCTCTCAAAGACCTGTTACTGTGCCTAAAAAGTCCACCTCTACTCCACTCATTAATCTAACTTAGTAGTACCTGTCTGAGCTCTTTAAAGACACCTGTCCACCCCACAGTCAGATGCCAACTACTACCATGGGCAAGACCAAAGAGCTGTCAAAAGACACCAGAGACAAAATTGTGGACCTCCACAAGGCTGAAAAGGGCTATGGAGCAATTGCCAAGCAGCTTGGTGAAAATAGATCAACTGTTGGAGAAATTGTTAGAAAATGATAGAGGCTAAAGATGACTGTCAGTCTCCCTCGGACTTGGGCTCCATGCAAGATCTCACCTCGTGGGGTATCACTGATAAGAAAGGTGAGGAATCAGCCCAGAACTACAAGGGAGGAGCTGGTCAATGACATGAAGAGCTGGGACCACAGTTTCAAAGGGCACAAGGACACTACGCCGTCATGGTTTCAAATCATGCATTGCACGGAAGGTTCCCCTGCTCAAGTCATCACATGTCCAGACCCGTCTGAAGTCATGTGGTCAGATGAGACCAAAGTAGAACTTTTTGGTCTAAACTTCACTCGTTGTGTTTGGAGGAAAAAGGATGAGTTGCATCCCAATAACACCATCCCTACTGTGAAGCATGGGGGTGGTAACATCATGCTTTGGGGGTGCTTTTCTGCGAAGGGGACAGGGCAACTGCACTGTATTAAGGAGAGGATGAATGGGGCCATTTATTGTGATATTTTGAGCAACAACCTTCTTCCCTCCGTCAGAGCATTGAAGATGGGTCGTGGCTGGGTCTTCCATCATAACAACGACCCAAAGCACACAGCCAGGATAACCAAGGAGTGGCTCTGTAAGAAGCATATCAAGGTTCTGGAGTGGCCTAGCCAGTCTCCAGACCTAAATCCAATAGAACATCTTTGGAGGGAGCTGAAACTCCGTGTTGCTCAGCGACACCTGACAGATCTAGAGGAGATCTGTGTGGAGGAGTGGGCCAAAATCCCTATTGCAGTGTGTGCAAACCTGGTCAAAAACTACATTAAACGTTTGACCTCTGTAATTGCAAACAAAGGCTTCTGTACCAAATATTAACACTGATTTTCTCAGGTGTTCAAATACTTATGTTCAGCAGTGCAAGACAAATAAATTCTCTAAAAATCATACAATGTGATTTCCTGAGTTTTTTTTTTTTTTAATTCTGTCTCTGAGTGGGAATGCACCTACCATGTGAATTTCAGACCCCTCCATGATTTCTAAGTGGGAGAACTAGCAAAATAGTGCAACCATGCACTATTTATAAGTAAACGCATACATCAATGTCCATATACTTCTCTAATCCCAGTGACACCTGTAGTCCGGTGACGTGCACGAAAATGGTAAAATTGCAAACTCACCAGAGGCACAATATGAATGCGTGTTTAAATCAAATAAGCCCGTGGTCCCCTCTGTCCTGGGAAGGATGCGCCTCTGGTGAGTGTGCAATTTTACCATTTTCGTGCACGTCACCGGACTACAGGTGTCACTGGGATTAGAGAAGTCACCTGTTTTGAATATTGATACCAACATCACTTTCTGCACTTATTTGGACATTGATGTATCCCTTTACTTATACATAGTGCATAGTTGTTGGGACATACATCACTCATTTGATACGGACTACATTTATATGTCATAATATTTTCTATGGTTTATTGGCTATCCTTAATGTGTACTTAAACTTTAGATATTTGCGTCATACTATTTTATTTAATTTTATTCTATTTTTTTTTAGCACTGCACTACCTGTTTAATGTTCATTTTTAGAAGGTTATAGGTTTTCCATTTTAGTGTTCTAGCTGCTTTCCACCCTTAAGCGCTCGCTGAACCCCTCTTTTTACATTAGATCTAAATTGTAAAGTTAAGCCTACTGTAATCTGGTTGGCTTTATGGAGGCAGGTTAGGGTTGTTAAACCATGGAAAAAATTCTTATGTCAGGTCATGTGACCTTAAGCCAGTTTGAATTGCTGAAAACTCTACAGATATACACTCCAGTGTACAACCACAGCAGCTTTTGACCTGGAGAGATTGCCACAGGACCTGCTATTTCCAAATAACCATTTTTGCAAGCTTTCCCACTACTAGCTTGCTTTAAAATAGATCTTTCTTACAGTTTAGTTCAGCTTTCAGTCTTCCAGTCATGTCAGGTGGGCATAAATGCTGAATGTAAAAAATTTAAAACCTCAGTAAGCAAAGTGGGGAACACAATATGTCACATAACAGGCTCACATTACTCCCCTCCATTACCATTTTCCACTTCCTGGTTGAGTGAGGCACTGATGATATAGCCAGGGCCTCACAGATGTACTCTGAGAAATCTCAGCTGTAGACTGAAGTCTCACAATACCTCGAGGAAAAGGCATTTTCCCTCTTAGGTGATGTGCGGTGTCACATGTTCCAGGAATCAGATCCAGAGCTCCAGGAAGTAAAGGGAAATGGAGTCCCCTGCCCTCAGTGAAAATAGCCTATAAGAAGAATGGGGAGGAAAAGAAAAATAAGGTGTGCAAAGCCTTCAATTATTTAAAAAGGATATTTGTAGATTGTTATTAAACAGGAAATTCACTCTTATTTTAAAAATTAGATCAAATGCACCTTTAGAAATGTTTAGTAATAAATAGTACTGGGAGGTTAATTGATTTTTACCTAAAAAGGCATCTGAGTTTAGTAGGACCTAAGATTTTGATCCCCGAAATAGACAAGAACTCAACCATGTTATTGCTTTGTATATACAAGAAAGAGATATACATTTGTAGATTAGCCACTACAATCATGGTGTCTCAATGCTTAAAGATGAATGATGAGATAAGATACAAACCACACAGGATAAACTGTTTTCTGGTAGTCTGCCAACTCAGGCTAAGACTGGTCATACATTATTCAATTTTCTTGTACTATTTTCCTTTAGATTTACCAAAATCATAGATTATGTGGTCAACCATAAACATTTTCCATTTGTATGCAGTCAGGCAGGCCCTTGCACTAAATACTTGAAGGTAAATCTAAAGGAAATCCAATAAGAAAATTGTATAATGTATGGCCAGCTTAAGGCTGGCCATACATTGATCCTTTTTTTTTATATTATTCAACCAGTGGGTTGAGCGAAAGAAGAAAAAAAAAAAAAAAAACAATTTCCCCAATAACACATTAGAGGAGAATGAGGGAATCATTCCTGCTGTGCCATTGTGCTCTGACTGCAGGGAGCTTTCTCTGTCAGAACAGACTGACCAATGTTTCTGGCTATAGCCGTGGCACTGATCATTTGGGAAACACCAGACAGGCTGGTTGTATAGAAGTTGATTGGTAGATCAACTTATGTACAACCAGCCCACCCATACATGGGCTGAAATTCAGCCAGTCACTGCTGAGCGGGCCGGATCCATGTATGGCTGCCTTTTTATTCCATTTGGATTTGATAAAGCACAACTACTGTGCAGGAAGCAGTATATGTAATGTACTAATGTGGTTGACCTCTGGTACATATAGAATCACACATTTATAGATCAAGCTGATCATTTACATGTATATTTTGTAATAAAATCTATACACATTTTTAAAAACCATAACCCTTTTTCTTTTACTTCCAGGCACCACCATTGCCAGTCAAGAACACCAAGGTGAAGACGATCGATCCCAGCACTCCTGGGGTCGTTCAAGCAAATCTTTCTGCCGTTCATCAGCAGGAGCTCCCAAATTAGGTGTTGATGGAATAATCGCTCTATTAAAAAGCAAATGTGGCAATGGTCGTGTCAACCTTCAGCCAGTTGTACGTTTGATGGATATCATGAAGGACCTTAGCCAACTATCCAATGACCTGCGATCCAGTGGTGTCCGCCTTAATTACAGCCATGTCACTAGCCCTCAATCAGAGCCTGAAGATGCTGAGCCAGGATTACAGTACAGCTTTTTTTCTTCTCAAAGCCTTGCTTGTGGACTGAGAAGCCCTGAGGAAAAACCTTCAGAGACCGTGGATAAAGAAACAAACCCTGTATCTCCCAACCCAGACTCTTCTGAGTCTGCCAGTTCAAATGTTCTTCGAGAGCTTGCAGCTCTTGCCTGGATGGAACCAGAGCCTATAGAAAGTGTACAAGAAAGGGATGAAGAGGATATAAGTGGTAGGGATGTGGGAGAGAGTTCAAGCAAAATAAGGACTGTGAATCAAAATGAACACGATGAGTCATCCGGTGATGAGCAGAGCAAGCATGAAATTGTGGAGTCTGGGGAAGAACGTGAAGGTAAAAATGAAGAGGAATCCACTGAGCATGAAGTATTTAAACAGGAAACCTGTTTTGGGGAGGAACAAAAGAATACAGAGGGTGAGGAGTCATCAGGGGAGGAGCATGAAGAGCATAAACAAGATCAGTCTGGAGAGGAGCAGGAAGAAAGTAAGCAAGAAGAGTCATCAGATGAAGAGCAGGAGGGGGAATTGGCAGTTAAAACTGAAGACCAGGAAGATCTGAAAATTGAAGCAGGGCAAGGTAAAATAAATGAAAGTCAGGAACTAATTATAGATATTAAAAAGCAGGAAAGGACAGGGGGTGGCGATAAAGATAAATCTTCAGATGACGAAGATGACATTGAGGTAGACAAGTGTAGCCAAATAGAAGAACCTTACAAAGAAAAGGAAAGTACCGTAGAAGAACAGATTGACGAGATACCGTGGATGCTACCTCTCTTTTCTCAAACATCAGAAACCCTTAGACGAACTCCATTTTCTAACCGCGGACATCGGTTTGGTTTCAGAGGCCGCAGAAGTGACAGACCAGGCAGGGGGAGGAGGAGACGACCTGGAAGGCCAAGAACATCTGAGAGCAGTCTGTCCCGCGCATTTGTAATGCCTCCTTATCATCGAACACCAGAGGAGCCCAGGGCTTACCGGCTTAATGAACAAAATGCACTATTTCCAGTTCCTGCTGTCCATCACAAACCACCCACAGCAGAGGTTGATCTACAGCAGGGTCCTCCACCAAAGCCAAAACGTAGGGGCATACGCAAAATGGTAGTTCGGATTGCCAGAATTCCAATGCCAATGGGAAGGAGAAATAAAACAAGCTATAAAGTATCTTCATTCAGTAGCACTCTAAGTGTGGAGGGTGGAGAGTTGATTGGTGGTTCAGGCCCAGGTCCCACTTCCCTTCTAAAGATGAAAAACAATGGACGTAATGTAGTAATGGTGTTTCCACCTGGTGAACTTCCAATCATTCTTAAGAGACGACGAGGTCGGCCTCCCAAAAACTTGGTCTTGGCTAGAGATACACCACCAGTCCTTCCTCAACCACCTCCTGTTGAACCCACACTACTGCCACAGCCTACTCCTATGCCCACTCAACCAGTTTCAGAAGGAGAGTTTGTGAAGAAAAGGAGGCGAAGAAAGCAAAAACTACAATCACCCCAGCCTTCTTATGTTGCAGACACTAACGACAGCAAATCTGACTACAGTGATGTACTGGCAAAACTTGCTTTTCTCAACCGACAAAGTCAAGGAGCAGTGAGAACCTCACCTCCTCGTTGTTGGACACCAACATTACCAGAGTCCGTGCACCAAGCACCTGGAACACCTAATATATCCCAATACCTTCATAGAGTTCAGGGCTATCGAAGAAGAGGAGGTCGTGGGGGAGGACCAGGGCGAAGAGGAGCTTGCAATAGCCACAATGCAGAACTGTCCCGCTGTTCTTTTAGTGAATTTTTTGAAGGCATTGGGAAGAAGAAATCAAAACCAAGAACCGTTGATCCTTTGAAACCACGGAAACGGAGACAGCCAAAGCCTGAACCAGACCCTAATGCTAAACCCAAGCGCAAGAGAAGATCTCGAAAAAATGGTGCTCTGCTTGGTGACATGGGAGAAGAACCTAGCTACCAAGGTGTGTCAGATTGGGGTGGTGAGAGTAAAAGTGGTCCATGGGCATCACAGCTTTCCAGCAGTCAGTCAGGTAATCGACCTTGCAATTACCAAGGCCCTGAACGTGCAGGTTTTTCTGCCTTGCACGATGGCTCACCATCTCGTCCAGGTTATTATGGGGGAACAGGATCTGTTACCCATAGTGAAAGTGGAGGGCAGGATCGCCATGGACTTTTTACAGGCTATTTCCGATCGCTGTTGGATTCTGATGACTCTTCTGACCTTGTGGATTTCTCTTCTGTTGCACAGAGACAAGAAGCAAGAAAATCTGCATCTGCCTTCTCTGGGTCATCAGCCTCACCCAACCCAAGGGCACTTCAGTCTTACCCCAGTTCTCGGGGAGGGAAATCTAGCAATTCAGAATCACCATACCAAAGTTCAGCAGCCTCCAGGCAGCCGTTCCCTCCCAACCGGGGAAACACAAATTATGTGTCACTTACCCAACAAGAATGCCGTGGATCTGATGCCTTTCAAAAGCTGTTGTCACGTTCTCCCAATTCCCAACATTCTGGAAACTTTGGCCAGTTTGGAGCCTTTACAGGATCTACTGGTCAGAACATACCTGGTCATGGAATTTTTGCACCAAACAAGCAGTACCCTGCTCCACCTGACTGCTTAGGGAATAAGGACTGTAGTTTTTCCTTCACTGGTGGTGGTAATAGCCTACCGTCATCACCAGGCAGCGCCCACAGTAGCACTAGCTTCAGCCAGCAGCAACAGATGTCAGCAGCAGGTTCAGGGTCTAATGTAGCTAAAAGTCCTTTTTTCAGCACATCAGAGTTGCCACCATATCCACCACTTAGGAGTGAAAGCCGTTCAGGCACCTCTTCACCTGCAGGCTATATGTTGCCTAAGGTTTCTGGTCCTATGTTTCCAGGTGAAAACAGCCGCACCTTTCCAGCATCAGTAGGAACAGGACAATGGGGATTTCGACAAGGTTATGGACAGTCTGACTGGGGCCCTGATAATTTTGGGCAACTTTATGGGCCTGGGTTTGACTGCCACATGACTGAATCTAATGTAATCTTGGACATAAGCAACTATACACCACAGAAGGCTAAACAAAACACTGACAACATGTCAGAGTCGTCCTCCGACAGTACTCAGTACACTCAACCTGGTGCAGGCTATCGCAGAGCCAACAGTGAAGCCTCTTCTAGTGAAGGGCAGTCTAGTCTCTCCAGCCTTGAAAAATTGATGATGGACTGGAATGACACTTCATCTGCACCCGGTTACAGCTGGAACCAAACTGTCCTCTTCCACCACACAGCTAAACCTGGCAGAGGCCGAAGAAAGAAAACCGATATATTTGAGCCATCACCCCACCACCACCTGGGCTTTTCTTCATCCTCTCCATCTTCATCATCATCATCTGCTGCTGCCCCTCCATCTGGATTTCCCACCAAAAGAGGAGGTGGGCCCAGGGGTCCAAGAGGTGGGCGAGGTGGAAATTGTACAGCCAACAAGAAAGAGAGGGGTTCAGGCAAAGCTAAATTTTCCCCAAAGCCTCCTGCTCCACCACCATCCTCCTCAGTCAGCTCCCTCTTTCAGGACACCTCAGATTTAGGACTGGACTGCTATAGTGGAGATAGCAGCATGTCACCTCTGCCCTCCCACTCGCGGGCGTATGGGGTGGGTGAGAGGGAGCCTCCTTGTGATTTCTCTGGACCTTATTCCATGAATCCATCTACCCCTTCAGATGGCACATTTGGCTTCCAGAGTGACTCTCCTGGGCTGGGCCCTCCCTCCACAGAGCTTGAACCTAGTAAACACTTCTCCCATCTCCCTACAGTTGGCAACACCAACACTGGTGCCCCACATCCTCCACCACCCCCACCTGGACTGGGGTATGATCACCCGCTACAAGACTCGCCCTTTTCCCCTAACTGCTCCCCAACACTTGAGCTGCGGCCAGGGGAGGGAAGAAAACTTGTACCCCCTCCCCACTCATCCTGTGATCCCCTGAAACACAGCCTGCCTCCCCACTTACCCTCTTGTAGGGAGCAACTTCCTCCACAGCCCACATCGCACCATCGCTATGACCCTCCCAGCTGCAAAAATGCTGGCTACTGGTATCCACCCCGCAGTCCACCTTATGATGGTAAGGGTGGATTACTTTCAGACTTCATGGGCAGGCGAGCAGAGGGTGTGTCCTGCCTGAGCCCTCATATCCCAAGCCCTAAAAGAGACAAAGAGACGCTGGACATGGTAAGGGGGCATCACAGAGCCTCATATCCCTGCCCCTTGATCAGTGATATTACCCATTCCCCTGTGCAGAGAGACTCCATGGTGCAGCTCCAGGATACTTATCGTTACCCAGCCTTCCCCCCCCAGGGTCCCCCAGTTCTTTCACCCCCAAACCTGAAGGGTGGTTTCTTGGGACCCGAGAACATACCAGAGGACAACTTCACAGTCACCTCCCTCTAGGGGGGGAGTGGCATGTCCAGAGTCATCAGGAGCAGCGGAGTCAAAGGGGTGAGGTGAGAAATAGGCTACAAATATGCTTTAGTACACTTATACAAAAATGTTTTTTTCTGCCTTTTTAACTAAGATGTGTTCTCTCTAAGTTGACTTCCACAATTCATTCATTAATATCAGAAAATTTGTATGCATTGTGAAAATAGCCAATTGTAATTGTTTACCTGTCCTAGTTGGTGTCCAGTTCTTCCTCCCCCTTTTTTTTTTCCCCAAAATTTTATCATAAGAAAAAAATAATGCAATAGGTAAAACTCCTATGACATTTGTGCTGCTTTCTGTGCCCTGTTGGGGAGATTTCCTGTCACTTTTTATTATGGAGGTACAACTGGAAATTAGAGGAAATTCCTGGTATTCCTTGTTAGAGGATTGGCCCTCACCTTCTGCTGTGGTGACAGCTGTAAAATTGTCATTTTTTTTTTGTACTAAATACAGTGAACCCCAGCCCAAACAATGGGTAAATCTCCCCAGTGGGGAAACAGACAAAAATAAAATGTTGATGGTGGTATAAATCTTTTTCTCTCTCCATTTTAAAGCTATAAAAATGTTCACGTTTGACATATTATATATGTCAAATAATTATAATTTTTTTTTACATGTTAGTGTGCATCAAATACCAGTATGTGCTTTTAACCTGGTCAAACATAGCTTTAAGGAGTACCTGTGTGTTTGCAATCTAAATATTTTTTTAAGAGGAGTTACATTTTTATCATGTGAGGGTACCTATTACAACCATAGCTTTTAGTGCAAGTTTGTCCAGAAAAAAGGCATGAAGAGGAATGACCAGTCACTAGTATTGCCTAAAGTTTTCATGCAGCTGATCTTTCCTCTACTAGTGACTGATAACGTATTCTGCACTATGTGTGGGGCTGGCCACCTTGGCAAAGGCAGCTTTTTGCAATCCCCCCCATGTCAGAGATTCTAGCAAGACGAACCGTGAACAGCACGAACAGCACGATTAAAAACATCACCAGTACTTGCTCCAAATCTCTTGTGACAAGCAGTGAATAGACAGCAGAGCCTTAAGCTGACCACACACTGTAGAGATTCTGGCCAGTTCCTGATGGAAATTACATGCCTGTTACCCATCTTTCACTTATTTTGGACCAGTTCAGAAAATATTAAAGCAAAAAGAATCCGCATGACAGCCAGGCAGTTTGCATTTTTAGGGACATAGGGTGGCAGTGGCAGCCTGAGATTGTTTAGTATTTAAAATTTTTCTGCTCATGCTGGCAAAATGCAGTTAAGCCACTTGAGTACCAGCCTGAAATGCTTCATTATCCTGCCATTTTTCAATGTTCATTATTGGTTAGTTTGAGTGAAAATTATGCATGCAACACTGTACCCAAATTATTTTTACCAGAATGAGGAAAAATTGTGATATTGAAGTGTTTAAAACACAGAGATTGTGCATGATCTAAAAGTTATCTACTGCACCATTACCAAAGGGTGGAGGAGGTGAAGGAGTAAGCGCTGATTCACATATGTATGTTGCAGATTGAAGCTCAGTTTTCCTAGCTAATTGATACAATGTTAGTTCACTGGTTCATGTCAGGTTTACATCAGGTTCAGGACAGGATTAGCTCAGGATCTTATCCTGTTCACGTATATGGGGTTTAGAAACGGTTCCCATAGAAGTCAATAGCCTGTAATCCGCACCTGAACCTGAGGGCACTGCTCAAGTTCAAACCTCATCTAATCTGCATATATGTGAACTGGCACTTAATGTTCAGGTCATACAGTGTGTGTGTGTGGGAGGGGGGTCAAACAAAAAGATCCTATAGTCAGAAATTCATACACTATAAATATGAAGCGCTGTGTCTGTTAAATTAGCCATTTGACGGCTTATTTCACTGCTATTAATGGGCCAGTGCCCACCCAATAAAGTGTGTAAAGATATGAGTGCAGCGCTAAACAAGTGATATCAGAAAAATATCATGAATTAGTGAAAAAAACCTCTGTGCAAGTAAAAAAAAAATATATATAAATTAAATTCACAAAAGAAACCATAAATGTAAAAAATAATCAACTATAAGGCCAATCAATAGTCCATATATCAATGTGTGTAATAAGTCCACCAGTTCCTGAGCATATAGTGCCTGAATTCCTCCTTTATTTCATTCAACATGTGTAACTTACAAAATCCACTGTGCCAAAACCACCATCAGCACTCCGCACTCACTGGAATATGTGGCTGCCAAAAGTTAAAAGCAGCAATAGTGTTCTGTGTAATCACTCTGACAACAGCGCTCTCATGGAAGCGGGCCCTTTAAATGGATCCATTGACCAAATCTTAAAGATCCAGGGTGCATGAATGTTGAGTGTGGCAGCATGAGATGGATGCTAACCAAAAGGGCGCGAGATCTAACTTCCATAGAGTGTAGTATTTATTTAAAACTCTCCGCATGCAGTACAAAACATAGGTTAAAAAACAACAAAAAGTCATTAACACTTACAAATGTGGCTGCCACACAGAATCCATGTGGCAGCAAGTTGTCAGCACTCTAAACTCTGCCCAACGTGTTTCACTCTCTAGTGCATCTTAAGGGTTCTACATTGTTTTCTCCAATGCTGTTTATAAATGGAACTGGGGAAACGCAGTCCTCCACTCCACTGTTCAAAAATGCACTGCAGTAGCGAAGTAATTAAAGTGTATGTAAACCCTTAACAATAAAATTCTATTAGTGTTCTGCCTCTCCAATCTAAGCCCTGCAAGTGTGATCTCTATAACTGATCCAGTTGTGACAAGACCGCTGTAGCTAGAATTAGCAGGCAGTGACTCGATCTAAATGACATCTTGTAGACCGTAGAAAGCTTTAACCAAAAGTTGTGCAGATCTTCACAGATAAACATCAGATAAGTCAAAAAATTATAGGATGTCTAGCTCTAGCAATTACCTGTGCTCAGAACAGTGGTGGGACTAGCTATACAAAGGGCGGAAGGAACAAAATTATTCAAAAGGCAAACAAACAATGCATGTGCAACATGTTAATTTGCCTTTGGTCTGTTGAATATACAATTAAAAAAAAGAAATGACCTGTTGCTCTTGTTAGAAATTCAGAGCTGTCAAAGCAGCAATTCCTAAAGCAAACCAATAAACCTTCCTAGCAGTGCAGACTTAAGAGAAGTATAGACTTAACAAAAACATTTGTACTCACCTAAGTGGATACAGCATCAAACCAATGTTGCATCTGTCCCCCTGCCAGCTCTGCAGAGTGATCAGATGCTCACTTGAGGGCTGGGCTGTGGAGGATTGCTGGAGAGGCTGAGCCAGGTTCCGGTCCAGGCTTCTGGGTGGATCCCAACCATATGGTCGGGATCTTCAGCCAATACGATTCACAGGAGTGCAGAAGGAACTGTACTCCTGTGACCTACAATAAAGGTCAAAATAGCTTTGGCTATACTTCTTTAATTTTCCTTTACTGTGACTCAGTCACATGAATAGGTCAAGCACCAGCTAAAAACATTATTATTAGAATGACCGAAGTTTATATTTTTTCTTTTTCATTTTTAAAATGTTTGTATAATCAAAATTTTAAATCCTGTAATTTTGCTAGTTGTATTTCAGTAATTTTTTGCCTACTCCTGGTAATCATAATAGCCACAAAAACTCCCTTTTTTAATTTTCCCACATTTACTCCCTTGAATTGGGTGAGACATATTCAATATGCCCTGTTAGTAGGCACTGCCATGTCATACATGGCAGACAGCAAGGCACCATGGAATTATGTAGTCCTTAGAAACTGAAAGTAAATTAAAGGAATCCGCAGAGGAGAAGCTACATAGGCATGCAGGAAATCCAGGAGGTTGTAGAAAAAAAAACATGGCCTGCAGACAGGCAGCAATCACAAGATGAAAGGAGATTTTTTTTTTTCAAGTAATCTTTTATTGGATCAACAAAAAATAATTCTAGTATTGCAATTAACAATGCTGATGTTTTTTAAATGAAAGTGTATGCTGTGACCATAGAACTTCTTTAACGGGTCAATGTACTGGGACAATCACAAAACTGGTGTTAGCCAGAAAGGAGCTAATAGCAGGGTCGTACTGATGGGAATAATGTAAAGGATTTTGAGTTGTATGTTCACGCTGGCTGGTATCCCCTTGTTTCCTTTCTGAATTGGTGTCCAGTGTTTAGGGAAGATCATGAGATACAGCAGATTTGCAGCTGAGACCAAGTATAGAGTTCCAACTTAACCTGTTGATGATCAGAAGATTGGTATCCCTTCATTTTGTTCTGGAATAGTTCATAATATCTTTCCTAGTCTGATTTATTTTTTTTGCAAGTAGCAACTGTAACAGGCTCTCTGCCACTGTTAAGTGGCCTGCAGATCTTCACAGAATTATGAAGCAACACTGCATGCCCCCAAGGCATGATACCCAGTATTTTAGTTTTGATCACTATATTCTGAGGTATCCAGAACAAGGGGAGGCTGACAATACATGTGTTTAACAGTTTTTGTTAACCGTAATAGAAACCGTATTGAGTGCTGTTTTTGTTTTTTTGTCTTTTTTTCTCGGTAGCTCATACCTCTGCAGTTTTCATGGGAGGCAAGTTGTGCTTTAGACGCGTTCTCTCTATGGTACAAAAGTGCCCCATGCTAGAATGCATGGAAATGAACTATGCATATGACTATATTCACACCATGTGATTTTAGTGAGGTACTTTGTTCAAAGAAATCGATCATACTGTAATCTATCCTAGCGCATCTTCCATGCTATTACCACTGTGAGGTTTCCAATTTTGGATTTAAAATTGATAACACAAGAATGCAGACTGAGAAACAAGAGTAAAGAATAGAGGTTTAGGCTCTATACTAGTGAGATCATGGTAGTGTGGTGTGTCTAAAGCAGCTTTCTCAACCAGGGTGCCCAGGCACCCTGGGGTGCCTTGAGATTTCTTTAAAAAGGGGTGCCTTGTCAAAATGTCTAAAAGTTGCCCAAAACTTGTG